TTGACAGAAACCTATTTCTTGATATTAATAACCTTCTATATTTTCAGCTAATCCAAAAGTAAATGAGGAACTTGGGAAAAGATTGCCAACTCCAAATCAACACGGTTACACAGAATTGAAAAAGAAGCGTACAGCTTCATTTGAGGGACTCTTATAAGGAACTCAGTGCTGTGCAATATGAGGTGAAGTTGTTATTTTTTGTTAAGACCTAAGCACATCAAATCATACGCATTTTTTTTATCATGCACATTTATAGGTAAGAACAAATATGAGCTAAATATCTGTTTCTTAAACGTTTAATGTAAATATTAGTGTTGATCTCTGCGAGTATAAAAAAGTATAATAATTGTGCAAACTCTAAGATAAAAATGAAAACTGAATTTTTGGTGTTGTATAGGAAAATAATTTCTTCTGCTGCTTTATTAGTTAGAACATATGTCTTGGTATAATATGCTTGAATTTTAAAATGTGTACTTAATTTTTTTTTTTTAACTCTTACATTTCTCAGCACAATGTCACAACTGTAGTTAAAGATGAAAAATTGTCCTTTGTACAATACATTGTAAAAGAGGTGCTTGAGTCAGTAATAAATTTTGTGGTAAACTTAATATATTAGAAAGATTACAAATTTATTTATATTTCCTTGAGATGTGGTATGTAGTTGAATTTTTAACATACAAGAGAGGTAACACTCAAACTGTTACCTGATAAGGATTTTACTCTGGGTCATGTTTTTGAATATTGAGGGTTGTTTCTTGAAGATTTTTGGTTAGATGAAATACTGCAGCTATTTAATGAACTGCATAGTCTGAAGCAACATGTATACAAATATTAGTATGGATTATTTAGCTATTTAGAAGAACCTGCAAATTCAGAGTTGGAGTGGTCATGAACCGCTTTACCTGTATTTTGTCCAGGAAATTAAAGCAGGAGAAAGAATGTTGTGAAGTGGATATCACGAGCTGTAATAATTACCAAAGTGAGCAGTCTCATTGCCTCGAGTGGGACCACTCAGTGTGATCTGGGTTGTGCTCAGTAGCATGTACTTTCAAGACCAGACTCTAGAACAAGAAGACAAACTAATAAATTTTTCAGCAAAGGCACTACACACAGCAGAAAGCTGAACCAAACCTTTATAAAAATTAGATGTGTGAAGAAAAAGTAATTTACTGAGAAATATAATTTAGCACTGACCATTGAAGTACACAGGCTTTATTGTCCTGTTATAAATATTTTTAAATCATTTCTCTTGCAAATTTTCGGTCAAATGAAGGCAAACTATAGGTGTGTTATATTGTTTTAAGTTTATTTATCTAGATTTTGCTTTATCTTAGCTCTGAAATCTTCAAGGAAAAACTGGACTCAGTGCCAGATCAAACAAGTTCACAAGAACAAATGGAGAACTGGTCAAAAGGTAAGGACTTCTGAGATATTAATAAGGAACCTCGGGTGTTGTACCCGTGCTAGGCAGTGACTGGAATGTATTTGTTCTTGCTGATATGTGACTGACTTTGGAAGAAAAGGAAAGAAACCACCAACACAACCACACTGCCTCTTTAAAGTATTTTGGGTAACGGTAGAGTGGCTACAGGAATGTAAATCATCAACTTTATTTTTATTTTCTGGGTTATTGAAAATGCGTTTGTATAGCTTTGAGTAGTCTTACTTAAATTCTGAGTCTGTACATTGCACTTTACTTTCCAAGCTTTTTTTTCTTAATGGGTGAACAACAAATCTGAAGTCTGTCTTAAAGCGACTTTCTTGGCTATTCACGCCTGGCTAGAGTATGATTAAGCCATCCAGTAATATTAAAGAGTTTCTCATTATTACCTCAGCTGAAGTATAGACAGTAAGGTAGGCTTGGAGGTAAAGGAGGCCTTGGTTAGTTTGGAACTTCCATAGGTCATGGAGTTTTTATCTCCATCAGGATGGAAGGATCTTTTTGTATCTGGATGACCAAAATTTTGCTCTCTGATATGTTCCTTTATGTTTCATGGCAGAAACTTTAAAAAACAAAGGTACCGAGTTTGAGAGCACATTATGTGACTGACTGACCTTACAGAAAAGACTTGTCAGAAAGTGGCTTGTGACTAGATAATAACTTGTAGATTGCAGAAGGGGAAGTACATCATAAGAGTGGATTTTTTTCCAGTAAGTGGCTGTGTGTAGGTTAAAAAAACGCCAGTGGAATAGGTCTATCAACATCAAAGATGCTTCTTATATCAGAGCCTGATACCATCTTGTGTGTTTTCTTTTTTTGAATTTTATACTATGTATTCTTTCTCAAAAGATAATAAATGTCAAGTTTCTCATGAAGAGTTTGTTGTTTAGAAGAAAGAAGAAATATTCCGTCCTGGAGATGATGCATTTCTTACATATGTAGGAATGTTTATCTATATTAATGCGTAAAATAAACTACTTGTAGACACCTTTTAATTAATGGAATTTTGAGCTATTACGGAGTGAAGTTAAAAATATTTCTGAATCATATACTCTGAAAACAAAAATAGTCATAGTGGAGTAACTTAGTGGAGAATTGTATTTTGACAATTTGTACTTTAAATGTGTGATGGCTTAATAAGATTTAGTATTTTTAGACCTTTAGGGGTCAGCATACCCTAACAATGGTTCAAAAGGTTAACTTTTCCAAAGTAGGCAAGTGAATGCCATAAACTGATTCTCTGTGGAAGATTTTCTGTCTAATTGCAAGAAATGACGTTCTGCTGCTGCTGCTCACAGATCCTTTAAAAAACTGGGTAGTTACTGAGTTTCAGATGTATTATTTTTCTGGTGCATTAAGTTAATATTTTGTGCTGTTTAGAAACCTATTTCTTCCAAGCTAACATGTATTTGTGTATCCAATAGTTGTTATATAGACAAAAGTAAAATTTATACACTTTTTTTAGATCAGTCATTAAGAAGTCACATAGTTCATTATGCTTTTGCTCCTAGGGAAGATTAAAAAAGCGATTATGGATAAATCTCATGTCATCATACTGGTTTGGACTAAGATTTTTTTTTTCTTAGAATTTTATTTGGGTATTAACAATTAAGTTACACTTTTCATCATAAAGATAATAGATAAGTTACAGCAACGTAATGTTCAGAATGTACCCTTGGTAGACACTCTGGTGCATTTTCGCCTTGAACTACTTAATCTTCTGTTTAAATGTCCGTGTTGAAGTACATACCATTTTGTGTTCTACTTGCTTTGTCATCTGTGGTGTCTTTCCTTTTTGCGGCTTGTATTGTACTGTGTCTAGTTGTTCCTTGCTTATAACTTGGAAATTTAAAGGCTGTTTTTAGAATAACCTTATAACAATTTATTCAAGTATTATTTTTTTTATAACATACTGAAATGTTAGGGATTAAATTATTGGTCAAAAAATAAGGATGATAAAGCATGTCTGAGATTAAATTCAGCTGACTAGACAAAAATTCAGTCAAGCAATGAGAATTTAAAAAAAACCAGCAAAAATGTTAGACACAGACAAGTGGTAGGTTTATGGTGGTTGTGTGGGATAATATGTAACCTGTTAACAGATGTTATAAAATAAAATACTTGAAAGAAAGGTAGTGTTTCAGAGGAGTATATCTGAAGTGTTTGACAGCTGAGATTTTCTTTTTAACTTTCAATGTTGTTCAGAATATAATATGCCTGTGTAGATTGAAGACATTTGTCTGTTTCTGTTCTGGTGTATTAGGAAGAGTTAAAGAACAGTCTATATGCAAGGCTTATTATTCTGGGTTTGTATGTAATTTAAATGTACTGTTTATCTCCACAGCACCTAGTTTTTAATAGGAGGATAGTGACTTTTTTCATTTCTCTTGAACACTACTTGAGAAAATGTATCAGGAGCATTGGCAGCAGGCCAATGAAGAGTATGTAATTTCCAAATTAAAAATATTCAGGATCCAAGCTAGAAAGCCTAGAATGGTAGTCCATTATAAAAATAAACTTATGTTGGCGAATAGGTGCATATCTTTGCATTGCAGTGGCTGGGGGGCGGGGGGAGCATATTGCACCTGGGTGGAGTTGTTACTTTGGCAGGGTTTACATACATGACAAAAACTGCACAAACATTAATTCTGTGAAAACACGAGGGGGAACCTGAAAGTGGATGCTTTTCATACTTACAGATACATTCAGGATTTGATATGTGAGTTTTCCAAAAGAGTTAGCAGGATAGGAAAGTGGTGAGTGTGCAAATACTAGAGTTAAATTTGTGTCTCATTTGACTCCTATCGTGCTGTGTTTGAATGTACGGCTATACTTGTTCTCTATATAGTTTTTCGCTGTTGTAATGTTTTTGTTTCTGTCATTTCTGAGCATCTATGATTTTTAAGGACAGGGCAGAAATTAAGTGAAATCTCAAAATACCAGGTACTGTTTGGTCTGTTTTAACAACAGAATCACAATTTTCCTGACTCAGAAATGAAAAGCATTGTATGATTATTATTTGGAATTTCCTAAAACAAGATAATAGATTGATTATTTGTAGTGGCAAAGTGGTTTGCTTCCTTAAAAGGTGGTTATTATATATTTCAAGCATATGAATAAATCTATATATTTCTAAACCACTGCTTAAAGCACATATTGAAATGTAAGTCAATGAACAAGTTTCACCTGTAAGAATTTGATGTCAACTCTTAGTCATGATCCGTATAGATACTTTCACTGTAACTTGTTATCCTTCAAAAGAATGTTTGTGCAGCTTGTAAAAATACTTTAAAATTGCATGTCTGGAAACTGTAGTTCAGAGGACACTCTAGCTTTAAAGAGATGTGATGATGTAGATTGGAACAGAACTGCAGAATCAGCACGTGCAGGGAAATTTGAAAATTAAGTGTTTTATTTGGTCATGAGCTGTTGTTTTCCAGTCTTGCTCCCTTCAGGAAAAATAGAAAACATATATGGAAACCTAATGAACAAGTTATGTATATATAGTTGCTGAGGCACATGTGCTTGTGATAAGTTTACACATAGACAATTGTCTTAATTGCATTGTGTGTTTGTGCATGCATTGGTCCTGCATGAATGCATGGTGCTTGCTGTTACGAATCTGGCCATAGCTTTCCTTGTATTGTCATGGTCATGACATGTATATGCCAGTGCATTGCTTACAAAAATATCTTTTAACTCTTTTGCTGTGTAGTGAATAATATTCATGAAATAAAACCTCTCTAGAAGTATTTCTGCATTTATTTACTCTCATTTACAAATTCCATGAATTATCTGCCCTCCCTTTTGCATTCATGGTAATTGAGGCAATGTACAGTCATATCCAGAGGTTAAGTAAGGAAACTCCTGTTCCTCACCATGACTATCTTATTAAAAGTAGTAAGTCTTTCTAGTTGTGTAATGATTTTAAGGTACTTTTTTGTGAGTATGGTTTGGTAATAGTAATTACATTTTGTCTGGAATTAGTCTTGTGTGACTTTAACGCACGCACACCTGCACATACACACACACACAAAGATGAAGGGGTAAAGAAAGCTTTGAGAGTAATGTAGCACTGTACAGATTTTTCATCCGACACTCTAGTTGGGTCAAAAAGCAACTAATTGTAAAGGTGCTGCTTCCCCTTTCCCCAGAATACACCTTAACACTCTAAAGCAAATCTGAAGCCCTTCTTCCAAGGCTGTAGTAGAGGCAGAGTAAACCATGCTTGTCGTATTGGAGTCTGTTTCTTGTTTTACATTCCTCAGCAGGAGATACTGTGAGCCTGTTCTTCCTCTCCTTCCCTCTTTTAGCAATAAGGAATGCTGTTTACCTGGAAAAGAAAGACCTGGATATTGCATGAGTGTGTAAGCAGAAGAATCTGTGTGATATGCAGAGAGGCAGCGTTCTCTTCACACATGTGGCTTAACTGATCAGTGTCTTCCATGTGTGCTGTGCTTTCAGCGTCAAACTCAGTGCGTGCGAGCTGTCAGACATGCCCTTGCAAAGTGGCAAGGGTGGTTGCAGGTTTCTCTACATGGTATAGGAGGGAGAAGAGAGGTTGAAAGGATGATCTGGCATGAGTCAAACATAGCAAGAGTGGCTGGTAGCTGTTGAGCAACACAAAGTATGGAAGATGAAGAAAACATCTTGCATGGAAAAAGAGGGAATAGTGTGCAATGACTTACAAGATAAAAAGGAGCTAATGATAACTGAAAAATCATCAAATACTGTCTGGTCTTTCCTGTGACTATAATCACCCTTTCATGTATAAATCCTCATGTCTACTTTTTCCATCCCGTTTCTTTCCTTGTACATTTTGATTGGTTAAATATAGTGCCTTTCTGGCCAGGCTGTATGCAGAAAGACTCCTCATCAGAAGTACAATCAAGTATCCAGTATCTGCCTGACTCGTTGGAGTGTTATGAATATGATTTTACTAGACCCTTTACAGTACGCTGAAAATGTATAAT